TTAAAAAGAACAAGACATGAGCCTAATTAAGATTTACCCACCTTCACATAAGCCCCCTCATATCCATCTGGGTTCATGGAGGGCAGGAGGTGGATTCGCGTCTCGGTGACCAGCCGTACAATACGCTGGTTGCCCTTTTTGTATTCTTTGCACATATACTGCATGAGGTTTAGGACAAGCTCTCGACCAAGAGCTTCATTTCCGTGCATGCCTGCCACGTAGCGAAACTCAGGTTCCCCTGCCAAGAGGAAAATTTAGAGCCCCTTTACACGCCAAGGAATAAAAAAATGTGGAAGAACTGACTGGGGCACTTCTAAAAGGAGGTCATATTAAACATTATCTAAGATTTTAAGTTTATTTTTGTTTTCTAAAGCTCAGCACCAGGAAGACATTTAATTGCTCAGATAAAGCAGTCTGTGTTAGGCAACAGTTTGGCGCCAGGCATTTCTAAGTACATGACTCCAAAGACCTGAAGTCTGGGCTTTTACCACAAAAATAAAATATGTTCAAGGCCTCAGTGTTTTCTCTTAGACTTGGCACTGATCACTACTCCATGAAATCAATTAAACAGCTGCTGACGCATAAGAGCAAAATGCCTGGGAGCAAAGTGATTTTGAAATGTGTTTATGACATTTCTCTTAAGAAACAAAGACAAGCTGTACCAAACTTGATTTTACTAATCTTGCTGGCAGATGTTGAGTGGCCACAGATCACATTTAAACACAAGCCTGTATCTAATGGCAATGGTTCAAAGAAATAAAATCATTTGTTTATACAAGAGAGGCCTTCTCCTCAGGACCCCCTGCCTCCCTGTGTGGGGCTGCTGCAGAAATCAGGCTGTATAAACAATGGTGGACATTGAACTGCACCTCTGAGCTGCGAAACTCTGGGTAACTTGAGAAATATGACAAACCAGAAGGTTTCATTCCAATATCTTCAACTCTTACCGATTTCGTGTTTGCCCGGGTTATCTGAGATCTCCATAACGTAGAGTTTGAGGCCCATGTAGCTCCTCCCTATAGTGTAGACGCGGGTGATGTCGGGACACTCCTCCGTCACAGACTTCATGAGCTTCAGGGTTCAGAAAACACGCTTGAGTGTAAGGCTTAAAAGGGTTAAAGCTGAACCTTTACCAAATCTGCAAACCGTTAAGAGCATGAGTAAAAACCCTGGTGTTTATGGGAAAGCCACTCATCCTGTAACTTTCCTAACCTTTCTCATCTCTTTGTAGTTGTGGTGTCTAAAGTCCAGAGCATCCTTGGATCCTGATTCATGCTCTGAGAAAATGTCAGATGGATCTAAAAGAAAGTAGCAGATGTTTCCAGTTACATATTTTCTTGCATTTGAACATCCACAATAAATGCTGTGTCCCTCTCCACTACTGTTTTTTTTCCTACCGTGAACACGGCAGCCAAGTATCTCAGCCCTGAGGCAGACGGTCCCGTTGGAGTACCAGGTCTGTGGGTTGATGCGGATGAAACGGGCAACAGTGGGAACAGGAAGGAGCCCAAGAACCGGCGTCTCAGGATTCTGGTTTCCTTCAAATAGCTGCACAATTCAATGTGAGTTCATATAAGTTTGTGTAGTCATGGAAAAAAGATAGCAGACCCTCTATATATTCTAAGCTTTTGTATATAAGGATAAAATAAAAGTAATCTGGCCTTATCAGGTTTTATTTACAATGTTTATTAGGCCATTTCCAAAGAACTTCATTCTAAAAAGAACATGCCACCACAGCTTATGTGTGCAAAATTGCCTCAGAACAACCACAAGGCATCTGGAACAATGTCCTTTGAAGAGATGGGATGTTTGGCCAAAATGCACAGTGCTACGTTTGGAGAAAACTAAACACAGCGTATCGGCACAAACACCTCATACCAACTGTCAAGCACGGTGGTGCGGTGCTTATAATTTGGGCTTGTTATGGAGCCACGGGACCTGAGTACCTTACACTCATTGAGGTGACCACTTATTCCTCTGTATACCAAAGTATTGTAGAGACAAATGTGAGTCCATCTGTTGGACAGCTAAAACTTGGCTGAAATTGGGTCATGCAAAAGGAAAATGACCCCAAGTAAATCACAGCAAATCTACAAAAGAATGGCTGAAAAAGATGGTGTTGCAATGGACCAGTGAAAGTCCAGACCTTAAGAAGGCAAACTTCAATGAACTGCAACAAGATTATAAAGACTAGTGCGCCAAAATTCCTCCACAACGATGTGAGAGACTGATAAAGTCGTAGACAAAACAATTCAAGTCGTTGCTGCTAAAATAGGTGCAACAAGCTCTTGAATCGTGGGGTGACAGGACAGCGGAGGAAGAACGTGCAGGAAGTGGGCCTGAGTGTGATTCTGCAGTTGCCTTCTGGCAGATGGTTTGCCTGCTCGGCCCACTGTGCTAATGATTACAACACAAATATAGCTGAAAACATGACCTTCTTGGCAGAGTTAGCAATGGCTTTAAAATGAAGTGGAAAACTTTTGTTTCGCCTTCATTTCCTTGGAAAGAGCTTGGACTTTCCAAAATATGTGGCGTCAGACAAAAAAAGAGTTTGAACTGCAGTTTTCAGTCAAACCTTAAATTTCTTTGTACACACTGCATGCTGCATACTGCATGCTGCATGCATCAATGTGTACTTTAGTTTGTTTATATAGTGTGTTATAATGAGTTAAAGGCCACCCCCGAATTTCAGTTTTTGCCGTACTGTATTTGTTTCACTCTGAGTCCTCTCTAATCTGCACCAATACTTAAGGTTTTGGTTTACAGTCTATATTTCACTTTGGCAGAGAAACTTCAAAATCTGTTTTCCATCTATGTTCCTTAAATCGCAGAATACAAGAAGTAGTTCTCACCGCTTCCCGCGTCCCGTTCATGGAGGTATGCCAGGTTACAGAGTCATTACTCAGCTGAACTTTGTAGGTTTCAACCCAGTCCCAACTATGACATAGACCAAAAATGAAAACAAACGTATATTTTTTCAGTGAGCTCATTGCAGCGGGCAGCCAAAGAATACCACAGCACTCCATCTTTGCTTTAGACAGTATGGTCAACGAAGAGCTAATGTCCATAATGCTAACAAATTATTTTGATTTTCAGCTTTAATCCTGATACTACCTGACCTCCAGATGGAGTTTCGCCCTTGCAGAATAACTCCAGTAAACAGAGTGAGATGAAGGGCATCCACCTCGAGCCACTGGTGCCGGTCCTTATACTCGGCACACCAAGCTCCATCATACAGATCTCCATCCTCAATGCCAGACTTGGGAAAAAAAGAAGAGAAAAAAAGAAAAACGCACGTCACAAAGAATCCAAGAAACACTCCCTGAAAACTTGAGGTTTGGCCTTCGTGTGAAGCATTGCATAAGAGTGCTGACCCTATTTTGAAATAATTACTTTCAGACTCCAGACTCAAGATTTTGGACCGCAGAACAAGAGGAGTGGACGGCTGCAGTGATAAACACATCTGGCTCTGCATTCATCAGATTATTTCATTTAATTTTTGTACATTTTTTTCTTGGAACAAACAATGAATAGATTTTATTTTATTGGCTAATTTTACAAGCCAAGCAAGACCAAATGAGCCTGCTAAGTTAAAGTGTGGATACTTTATAATTTATAGTTCCTGTAATAAACACTAGAAATAAGTATTTAAGTTAAATATGACAACTTGAAAGGAATGGCTAATCCCATTAGGAGATCAAATTAGTCAAGATATCTGATTATAGAATAGAATAGAAAACTTCCCACTGGACTTTCTTGTTACTTTGGACCAAATCTTTGATTCCACATTAAACTGAGTCTCAAGTAAAGTAATTCTAACCGTGAAAAAAGTAACTGTAGTTTTTCCTGGACCTTTATGGTGACGTTTCTCTTCACTATGGTGATAAATTAAACATCTGTAGATTTTGCATGTTGACAGAAGAAATAATTTTTTAAACCGTTTTTAATACGCTTTGCATAGAAACTGGAGATTCCCACACACACAACATTTGAAACATAACAAAATAGTATTCAGTAGATTCAGCTTGATTCATCAAATTGAATCCATTCAAATTCATGTCTTTGAAGTAGCAGTCAATCTAAATTAACTAATAAAGGTAATTTTAGGTTGTATTTCTTTATTTGATTTTCAAAGTTTTTAAAAAATGTGTGCAGTTTGTTTATGTTAATAAAATTTAACAATGCTTACCAAAATGCTGAGAGATGAGTGTCTGTAATAGCCTCTGACCCACTGACCTGGATATTCAGCCTCCCCCTGTGAGGACCCAGCCCCGACCGCTGGTAGGACGAAGCTTGAATCTGGCTGTCATCAACTCGCAGGGACTCCAGGCCAAGGGGAGGACAGTCTGCGCGGAAAACAAAAGTGAATCATCACGCGATAAGATCTTCTCTGGGTTTGTGTCTCCACATGTTGATCCTCTGCAGAAGCAGCTCTGAGATCGACAGCGGAAGGGTTAACCTTTCTCTCTCTTTGAGGTTTGTCTGAGTAAGCAAACACATGCCAGATGTAAAACGAGCTCCAAGCTGTTATGGGGAATATCTCTGATCATCTTGGGCCAGTTCTGTGGAAGTTTGGAGGCCCCTCACCTCCTCCTCCCCCTGCTCTGCTTGTTTCGGGGAGTAGAGGAAGCTGCAGATATTGGAAATAGTGCAGGCTTTGGATGTAATTTGAGACACAGTGGAGAAAAGTCAAATGTTCAGCAGATCAGGGAGGTGAGAGCTACAGCTGCAGGGGATTCTGAGGTTTAGGGAACAACTAATAACATTCACATCAGTCACAAGTAGGTCAAAACAGCTAAATCCAACATATTGATACAGCAAGTATTACAAGCAGTAACAAATGCTATACAGTGTAATACAGCTGTGTATAGCTGGAAGACATATTCCTTTAAGTGACTGACTGAGAAGAGATTTTTAAAAACTAAGCTAAGCTAAAACTAAACTTCAAACTAACTTTACTGGGATTTTTTTGACCTTCTATGATTGGAAATATAATATAATAATAGCAATAATTATCTCCATCTACTTTTACAGCTTGATTTGTTTTAAAGGTTTTAAAAAGGTAGGTATCACAATTTAATTGCCTCTTTAATTAATATGGAGTTAATACTGGAGCTCATAACACAGCTTCATGCAAAAATCAGACTAAATGGGTCATTTTTTTCCTACCCAGTTTCGATTTGTCATCTTCAGTCTTGCGGTCTCTTGGGTCTTTCTCTTTCTTGTTTCTTTCTTTGCTGGTGTCCGTGGTGTCCAGCTGTTTGTCTCTGACAGTGATGGTGAAAATGTCTGGCTCTGCTGTTGCTGGAGTCGTTCCGTCCCTGCTCTCGCCCTTCACGGTCACAGCCTCGGTCCAATTCAGAGTTGGCCTTGTTGTTGTTGTGTAGTTGATTAATGCATAACTCTTAGTCGGTGCTGGGGTGTTTATCAGTGCTGCAGCACCGTGTGTCAAAAGTCCCAGGAAAAGCACTGCAGGCAGCATGCACAATGACTTTTCCATCCTGGTCTTTGTTGCTGGAGAAGAGTGAGGGGGAAAAAAAATTCCCCTTTGGTTTATGAGATGACAGAGCCAGACCTCCATCCACCTCCCCTCCTCCTCAGTCCCACCTCCCCTTACTCCCTCACTCTTCCTCCCTCCCTCCCTCCCTCCCAAAATTCCAGCTGAAGTCCTGCAAAAGATTGTGACAGCAAATGTATCTGTGCATGGTTACAATATAGGCTGTGTGTGCCCGTGTGAACCAAACACTGAGCTGCCTTCAAAAAAATTGTTAAAATGATGATTAGAAATGTGTTTATCATAACAAAGTGAGCATGTAGTTTTATAGCACTTGACAAGTGGGGTTTTTAGTCCTCTTATAATGATTCAGACTTTTGAACAGGACTGCACAAGTTGTCCACAATGAGTTAAAAAATGAAATGGTTTTGGTGCATGAAGAACCACCTTCAGCAGCAATAATTTGAAATAATTGTTTTCTGCATGATCCAGGTCATGTAGCTACAAAACAAGCGCAAATCATCACCTCTCCACTACCGTGCTTGACCGCTGGTATTATGTGTTCGTGTTGATTTTGCTGTGTTTGGTTTTCTCCAAACGTGGAGCATTGCATTACAGACAAAGATCTCCACTTTGGTCTCGTCTGTCCAAAGGACATTGTTCCAGAAGTTGTGTGGCTTGTTCACACGTAACTTTGCAAAGCTAAGCGATGCTGGCATGATTTTAGAAAGAAGAGGTTTTCTCTTGGCGAACCTCCCAAATAAGAAGCTTCGGTCTTTTTCTAATCGTGCTGTCGAGAACTTTAATATTTAACATGCTAACTGAGGTCTGTTGAGTCTGAGATGTCACTCTTAGATTTTTTGCGGCTTCTCTGAGCATTGCACAGTCTGATCTTGTGTTGAATTTGTGACGACCTTCACTCCTGGGAAGATTGGAAACTGTCTGATTGCTGCCTCTTCTGACATAAATGCTCCAGTACAGCAGAATGATAAAACGTCTACTTTTATGGAGATGCTCACAATTTCTGATGATCATTAAATAAATGCATTTGATCATTTTGGTGTAGTAATATATTTTTTGATGTTGTTCTGATGAAGTTCTGTTTAACTCATTTAAGACCTGCTAAGAACCAAATGATGTCCCGAGTTTAAAGAATCTGTGCTTTCTTTTAAGCATAACTGTATATTTAGAAAGTCGCTCTAAAAGTGAGGTAATAAACATTATGTACGGCTGTAAATACATTTGGGTGTTCTCAGTCAGAGTATAAGAAATAGCCTCCATAGCTTCCGTGCAGTAAAGAGGTTTTCTGGTTAAAACAGGAAATGATAAAAAATAGGCTTTACTGGAGTTTTTTCTCACCACTCCCCAAAAAGCCTGACCTTAAGACAAATATTCCTGTCTAGCAGGTACATGTTTTCACTGTTTTAGCAAACAGTCAGAATGTGCTAGTGTACATGACGGTTTCATCTGATATCAGCCCACTCAGGATATCCTTTGAAACATTCAGGTTTAGGTTTCAGGCTTCTTACAGTTTAGAAGCAGCTTAGTCTCTGTTTCTTCGTCTTCCTAATGAGTTCAGGATTTGACATGGAAATTAAAAAACACACAGGTACGTCTCATATTTCTCCAGGTCTGTTTGGACTACTGGTTTATAGCAGCGAATACAATGTTTCTGAACTTCGTAACCACTTTTCGGCAGAACATCTTTTTACCTTGTGTTATTTAAGTACATTTGCATTCAGAGGGACTCTTATTTCTTGTGACTCATGTTTCCTCCACCTCTGTCTGGTGCTATGACTGTGAGAAAAGCTCTTTTATCTATGTGTCATCAGCCTGTTGTGTTCATGAGTCTTAGTGGGTCATGAGATGAGCTGCTGTTTCATTTCCCACATAAAATCATCTAATATATCACAGCTTAGACAATTTTAACTGTCCAAACAGCCATATGCTTGTTGTTGACTCAGCTCTGTCTATGTAATGTAACATGTTGTTTAGGGTTTGTGTAACGACAAATGCACTAAGTACATGTCATTCCTCTTTGTTTGTATCCACATAAACCTTGCAGCATTACACTCGTACATCTGTATTATATTTAAGCTGTACAGTCATGAACTTTAGCCATATGTCTGTCATGGTTTGGGGAATTTAATGAACTTAAATTGAAGCAAAACAAGGAGTCTCTGTCTCTTGTGTGAAGCAGTTCATCCACTGCTACAAGTTAAATGGAAATACTCCACCGGCTGCTGCAGGCTGCATATGTAAAAACAGCACAATGAAGGAATAAGTTCCTGAAGAGGTTCTATCAAATACATGACCTGCAGACACAGTTTGTGGGAAAGTATCTCTCTCTCTCTCTCTCTCTCTCTCTCTCTCTCTATATATATATATATATATATATATATATGAAAAGTTGCAGTGCATCAGTGCTTCAGAGCCGCATCTCATGACCCTAAAGAGACAGTCAGAGAATGTAATTTGTCATTTGGTTAAAAGGAATAATGACTTGGAGAACTGACTAGGAGAAATCTTGTGTGAAGAATAAGTAAAAAGCAGCCCATGATGTCCAAAAAAACCCCTCTTAAAGCTGGACAATGATTTCAGATGAAAAGGTCCAGTTTTCTTTTCTTTTTAAAAAAAAATAAAATTATATTGAGATAAAATAAGATAAACCTTTATTAGTCCCACATGTGGAACATTTGTTGGGTCACGGCAGAAAGTGGACAGTGCAAAGTTACAAGCAGCAAGAATTAAGAAAACAATGGAATAGAATAAGATTTTTTTTAAAAAGGATAACATACTATATCAAATAGAATAAAATACTATATACAATAGAATAAAATGCTATACATAATAAAATAAAATGCTATGTTTCGTAAGAAAAATTAAACTTAGTGGTATTGCACATGTGTGGATGTGCGTGTTTGTGTGCGTGTGTATGGTCATCTGTGAAGTCTCTGTTGTTGAGTCTGACAGCAGATGAAAGGAAAGACCAGCGAAATTACTCATTCTGTCACAGTCTACAATTCCTACAGGGAATTAAATTATTCTTTTTATTCTTTTTAATTTTTATTGTTTGATTCGACTCTGAAAAAGATATGAAAATATTTTTTTACACACTTATTCATTACTTAAATTAGGGGACTTTTTTGCTAGAAGTACTCATAGATCAGGGTAAAGTGGCTTAGGAGACAAGAAAACAAATAAACACACACACAAAAAAAACAACATTCCTCTTGAAATGATCGGGTACACGGACTGGTCTGAAAATGGGTGAAAAGCAGTCCATGATATCCAAAGGAAAAAGCTCTTAAAACTATTTCTAAAGTTCACTTTAAAATATTTCAAGAAAATCTGGCTAACCCTTGGAAACAAAATATAAAGAAATATAAAGAAACGTGGCTCAAAGCCTTTTGCACATGTTGTGTACACAAGTTGCACTTTTGTATACAAAAAATATCATCAGAATTCACTTCTAGAAAGTACAAGCGCGAAATGCATTTTCTTCCTCTTGTCAACATCACTGAAAGTTGTAGTGACAGCCGTCGTGGAAAGACGTTACTTTTATTTTGAAATCACAAATACTTGAACCTGATTGGTGCCTTTCGACGTGACGTCAGGACAGGAAATAGCCACGCAAGCCACTGGAATCATAACATTGCATTTGAAGAGTCTTTACTAACCCTGACATCATGGTTTTAGCTTTTTAATTTCGCTTTTTCTGATGACGGTTATTTCCGTTTATCTCGGAGAAGCGGAAGTTAGAGAAAAACTAAAATATATTTGAGCGCACTGCTAGCAAAACATGCCATTGGCCGCCGTGAAAGCAGCAACAGCAGAAACTAGCGATAGCAAGCAAATGGCTGCTCGGCTATGATGTTTGTCACTGAGCGAAGTAAGTGTACCACTGTCACTTTTTTTTTACACAGTATCTACTTTAAAATGTGTTTAATTCGCAGTAGTACTCATGCATTTCTCCAGCAATAAACAATAGTGGCTGAAAATGAGGCGCAAAAGCAGCTAAATAACGGCCTGGCAGCTAAGAGGTTTCTTCTCATCACCCTAACTTGTGTTTTTGTGTAATTTCCAGATGACAAGACGACGAGCAAAATAGTTGTGAAGGTACTGGGGGCTTGTGTCCTGTACAGGGAAACTGTTAGTTAACAGTATGTGACACATTAGCACTCTGCTGACTAAAAAAAGGGGGGTGGGAGTTGGTATAAATCAAGATGCCTCGTCTGGAAGTGCTGGCCAACGTTGCTCTCAGGGTGCCGAGCATACTGGTGCTAGACCTGCTCTACAAATGTGACATTGAAGGTGTAACGGAGCACCTCAAGGCAAAAAATGAAGACATGCTCTTCAAATACAAGTATGTCATCTGGAACATGTATTACATTGGTAAGTTTCATCAAGTAAGGAGGTGGGAGAATAAGTAAATCTCTCTAATGTTAAGATCCATGGCTTTTATTTGTCTTTCCTAACAAGAATTGCACTGAGTCGTCCTGCTTCAAAAAGCTGTTTGCTTCAGAAGAAAGACCTTAGTCTTGGTTTTACTGAAGTTTACTGTGGTGGGCATTTAATTTTCCCAAGGGGGCAAATGAGAAAGTGGGACTGTTGTGGAGGGCTGCACTAATAAGCAGAACTCAATTCTACTCAATATTAATTGGGTCATTACATCTTAAATAATCATATTGTTTTTAGAGTATTTTCTGCTTAACCATCTCTGATTTGCCTGAAAATTGTATGGTTTCAAAATGTGAATTTTTATTGCTTTGTATATAAAATATTTTTCTATATGTTTATTTTTTTTAACAGACCCACCCACACACTTTCAGGCCTTTTCAAAAAAAATTCATTTTGAAATCTGAGGTGGTGTTTGAATATGATATGACTATCTTTTTCAAACAGTTTTTAGGACTGATACATTTCAGACATGTATGGGTATTGGTTAGTTAAAATATGTTTTACAAAAAAAATAAATAAATAAAATTCACATGAATAGTTTGTAGTTATATTTCACAGTAATGTA